CCTTACAATTGTTGGGTTGGCTACAACGATTACCCCATGTCACCGTGATAGTTTTTTGGGTACACATTTGCACAAGCCTAAATTATAAATGTATCGTTAATTTTTACCTTGTAGAAGATGGAAATCTTTGCTGCAGACGCACCAGCTATGGAGCGCTCGATGACGACGTCACAGTTTATAGCTAAAGAATCAATTCGCTCACTCTGCGTCGGCACTGTTGATCTCAATGTTCCAGTTTATACACTGCGCAACTCGGATTTGTATCCCTGGCGCATACAGAATCAAATCATAACCAATACAATATATGACAACCGCCTACTATATTCAAACAGTAGTCTTCTGCGCATCCTAAATTTGTATCCTTGGAGTGGATGTTATTTTGGAACATTCAACTGGTCCAAGTGAGCTAACTGATTCTTTAGCAATAAACTGTGACGACGTCTTCAAAAAGCCAATATAGAAAATAAAAATAAGTGAACCGCCATCTTGGTAGAGGTGGAAAACTTTCAAGTTTGAAAAATAAAATTATTATAATAATATGTTTTATTTACTAAATTCTCATTTGTTTCTGTGATAGAATAATATATATTATTAATGAAAATCGTTTGCTGCAATAGATCTGGCGGTGAAATGCCCTGTCAGCAAGCAAGAAGGTGAGCCGAATTTCATGAAGGTGGTAGCAAACTTTTTTTCTACTAACTTTTGAGATAAACAACCGTATGAGATTGTCCTCCTTTCCTCTTCACTCCTTAGCAGGAAACATAACGACAACAAATTTTGATTATTTTAGACGGAAATGGAATTTGCGCATGAGTAAGGTCTATTACGTCGGCACTATTAGTGGCTGATGTTATAGAAGTATGCAGTATCTCTCTATAATAATTTCGGATTTCTATGTTTGTTGAGCGCTAGAAAAATTCCTGTTTGTATTACACTTCTTAGTTATTTGCAAAAAGTTCGCTAACTTAGGTCACTAAATATTTATAGTTAAGAAACAGGTTTGTCAATTTTAATAATTATTAGATAAGATTTATTATATTGTTACACAAGTTTTTGGTAACTCAATTTATTTCAACTCAACTTTACAATAACTGATAACATGAACGTATAACGTCTATCATAAAACTGCCCCCTGACGTCAAAATCATCGGCTTATATAGCTCACTTTAACCTTCCAGAACCTTTTCGAATTATCCAGATTCTGCTTTTACTCGTACTTTTACTTATGACACCCGCAGCATACTGAATGATAATGGGTAATATAGCAGGCTACTGCAGGCTGCAGGATAACAATATCATTATTTCATTCTTATGTATTCCAGTGAGTTGATTACGTAACTTAATATAAAATATGTTAAATGCCAGAAAAGTAAGTTTTTCGAATTTTTAAAATGATTGCTCGTTCAGCTAGAGGACGATAGCACAATTTTACTTGCAAGCAAGGAATATTGCGAATTGTAAAGTAACTTTAGGACTAATTAGTTCAATACATTTCTGGGACAGCAATTTATATTTGTGATGAAGTTTACCAAGGTGGTTATAATTATGGCGCGCCTAAATAGGATCGAGGAAGGCACATTGTATTTCATTTTATGTTAGTTTTTTGATCTATCTCTAAGGGATGGCGCATCTAGTGGGATGAATTTGCGGCATGATGGTAATTTAGCTTGCAGGACCGTTTTTATTTTTAAATATGGAGTGCTCCGAATAAACTGCGTTAATTTGGTGGGAAATTATATAAAAATTTGTGGTATCTCAAAGATATAGCATATTTTAAAAGATAAAAGTAGGTTGACGCATGGAATGAAATTGCGTCAACCCGATGCAAATCTGCAGACTTGCAAGAAAATAAGTTAGTTGACCTACAGAATAAAAAACAAAATAAAGTCGTCCATAAAAACAGAAAAAGGTAAATATTAGTAATTATTATGAATATATTTAATAGCACCGTTAAAAAATACATAAAACCGAACAGGAACCAATATTTTTTAGTGGACTGGACCATTTTAAATTAAATATTTAAAACCGGACCGGAACCCTTAATCTTTCAAACCTTTCTTTTCATTTTTTTTTTCGTTTTTATTTTATTTTTTTTTAATTTTTTTTTTGTAGTAACTTATTATGTTATGGTTACTTTTATCGTTGGCTGTATAAATATATAATAAACGTATTTTATAACATAGAAGTCCACAATAGAAATGTTTGTTAAATTTAAATCTCAATTAATATTAATTTTTCCTAGTAAACAAATTATTATTTACATAAATTATATAAAAACAAAATTTTTACTCCCACATGGATATTAACTTATCTACACACAGACTAAAAAATGAAAAAGTATGCTATTGCGTTCAACTAAACTAAATTAAATCCATTAATCACAGTTCATATTTGGATCACCCAACTACTATTATTTTAAAACTTTTAAATAAGTGACAATTCTGGTAAACTAATTGACAGTATATTTTTTAGTTGTTGAGATTAAATATACATTAAAATTTTTTGTGTAGAATTAATAAATAATAACATTTTTATTTTTATTTGGTCCACATTTTAAACCGACCTGATTAAAGAACATTCCCTTGTAAAATTTAAGGGAAGGTGGGATAAAACAAGAAACTGTAGAGTTGCCAGGGAGCTCTTAAGTTATCCTGACAATACTGCAGCAAATAAATACTTCACTATGACTAGACAGAATTTGCGCCTAGTCACATGCATTCTGACTGGCCATTGCCCCAAGTACAATAGCATCTCCATATTATGGGGCTGTTAGAATCCGCACTCTGTAGAGGGTGTAAACAAGAAAATGAAACCATCAAGCATATTCTTTACGATTGCTCGACGCTCTCATTTATTAGAATATTTGTGTTCGGCGAGTATTGGCTAACACCGGCCGATATAAGAGAAGCACCTCTTGACGACGTTTTCAACTACATTAAATCTGTAGGCTGGCTCACGAGATAGGAGGTGCCTATCATCTTAGGAGGATGCACAATGGGCCTAGTGAGACCTAACTGCCGTGGGTAACCCATCCTACATACGTTACAGATACAATACGTGGAATAAGATGGCCACATTTGTTCCACTAAATTTCGAATTTATTTTCACAAATCCAACGTTTCAATAGAGGGAACAGTAGAAAGTCGAGTTTTTTTCGATGATTTAGATTTCGAAACTATTTGCGATTATTGTACTAACAACTAAAGTCAAGAAACTTTTTGGTATCTCAATTTTAATGCCTTGTCTTAAATAAACTTAAATTAATATGCACTGAACCAAAATTGCTCGAATCGTCAGAGCAATGACTCGTGATAGATAATTTCAGATTAGAAATCATTTAAAAGTAGTTATTGACGCTAATGTACCTGAAACAATAAACCTTCTTAAAATACGTCCTCTACATAAAAGAATCAAAAAAGGATGTCTGTCGCTCCCTAGGTACGGCGAGGTTGCAATTGATGAACAAATAATTCCCTTTACCAGCATTTGTCACATGAAAAAAAAATTGTAAACTAATTCCAGAGGGATTGAAAAACTTCGTCGGTGCTACTCCAAATAGATTTGTATTTTATTTCGAAATTTATCAAGGAAAACAAAAATGTTTTCAGTCCGAATCTTCAAAATTAGACGTTGGACCTTCTGCCGCATACTTTTAAAAGCAACACAGATTTATATAAATCGGTATTTTATTACTATTCCATTACTTGAATACATGCTGGGAAAAAATGTATTCGTCACAGGAACAATTATGAGATCCAGAGTCCTGAAAAATGTACAATTAACATCTGACAAGATTGTGGCTCAGCTGGGATGTAGTTCTTCGGAGCAGGACGTCCGATCTAATGGACTAATAAATATTGTGCAATGGTACAACATAATATTTGTCCTTTTGAGACTTAAATTTTATTCAAAATCCACGACCAACTATTGTAAGAAAATAAAATGAATGCATGGGCGGGATAGACATTATTGGCCAGATAATAAACTATTACGAATGAAAAAAATTGGGAGAGAAACCTATGAAGTTTTTGGAATTTAAAATAAGTGTTGCAGAGTTACTGAAATTTTTCAAAATTAAGTTAGACCCAATGTCCGACTAAATGGTATTTTTTTTGTACTAAAAATTATATAAAGCATATTTGCCAAATTATTTTAAAAAAATTGAATATTTGCATGCTTGGGACTCAGGAGGTTATACAAACAACGATAAAAGTAACCATAATATTATGTCATACTACGACGAAACCGAAAAAATTGAAAAACTCATTTAAAAGGTTAGGTATTCCGGTTCGGTTCTAAAATTTTTATTTAAGATAAAATATTGGTTCAGTTTCGTTTCTGGTTAAACAATAAATATCAGTTCCAGTTCGATTTAATGTTTTTAATGGTACGGTTTGGGACTCTGCATTAAATGTGTACTTAATAATAATTACTATAAGTTGTATTTTAAGATTTACACTTTCTTGATCACGTTGACAAATTTACTTTGTTTTTCATTTCTATAGGTCAAAAATAAACGCAATAATTTTATTCCATCATACCTTCTTTTCTTTGTTAAAATAAGCTATATTTTTGAGAAGATTCCGTATGTTATTTTATAATTTGTAGTTCTCTACAAAATTTAACGCATTTTCTTTGGACCATTCCAACTAAATTTTCAACGTGCCTGTCATAAACGAGTTCAACAAACCGACAGAAAGTGGCTTAGAATGAAAATCAAAGTATGTGCTTAGAATACTTATACTCCAAGGAAAATGGAAAGCAACGCACCTACTTGTAACCTATTTGGTATTAGGCGTGGCGCGTCATAGAGTCACAACACCGTATACATCTGATAAACTTGGCCCTTCATTGGGATGACACAGAGCACGGCACGGACGTAATGTGCTATATTAATACGCATCTTAATATAGACCAAATCTACCACATTCTCAAAAATTTTTAAATTTGCATATACCCCTACCATAACGAATAAATAAACTTAATTTTTTCTGTTTTAGTACAACGCTTATTTAAGATCTGAAGAATTTCACTATCAACAACCATATTATTTATCAAAAGTATTCAAAGCCGTTTTAGAAGAAAACATCGAAAAATTAAATGCAATTAAGTTCGCCACAGAGTATTCTCTCAATGCAGGTGACGATTTTGGAAACACTCCTCTTCACGTTGCTGTAATCTCAAACAAGTTAGAAAATAAAACCATGTGAAGTTTAAACAATAAACTAACTATTTGCTTTCAGATTAGTAAGCTTGGACTATCTGCTTGCTCAAGATATAGTATCTGTAGATGCTAAGAATAATTTTGGACAAACACCTATATTCAACGCATGCAGAACCGATAAAATTGAAATAGCTAAAAAATTAATAAAATCAGGAGCTTGTATCAACATCCAAGATGGCCAGAAAAATACCCCATTACATATGTCGGTGTGCAATCCTGAAATAACACATATATTAATTAAAAATGGCGCAGATATTGACTCGATAAATTTTTACCAAGATACGCCTCTACATGACGCTATTACGGTGGAAAATTTAGAAACAGTATGTTTGTTGCTGTATTATAACTGTGATGCTAATGTTAAAAATTCAGAAGGAAATACGCCGTTTATGGACGCGTTGATTTATGAAAATCCAGGCATACAAACAGCTCTATTTGAGTACGTAGATGATTTTAACGTAACCACTACTGACGGCGATACAATTCTGACCCTAGCTTTGACCTACCACAGCGAATTCATAGAGGAAATTCTGTCGAGAGGTGCTAAAGTGAATCGAAGGGCTCTCGAATCGTCTCTGATGATAAACAACCCTACGGTCTTCGAAACGATATGGAAGAGAATACCGAATGTGGAGCTGGAAAATTCTAGTATCCTCGATAAGTTTGCTTACGGTATGAGGCGTAATAATATATTGAAATATTTCGAAATAATCCTTGAGAATTCTGATGAATCTTTATTTGAAGCTCTGGCTGTTTGCTTCAATTGTCAAATATCATTCGCTGATTTGGTCGAGAAGTGTGCTGACAACCAAGGACTTGAACAACTGACTAAATTTATATGCGTTTTGTTACAGTACAACTGTCATTTCCTTATAACAACTGTTTTTCAAATTTATTATTGTTTCGGGTATTGTGATTTGTTCAAATACTTTTTGTATATCGACAGCAGTGTTAAATATTGCAAATATGAGATATCGTTTGGGTGGATCATTCCCAAATATATATTTAGCATAAAAAGTGATATGAAGGAACTTTGTAGAGAACTGACTTTCAATAAGGCAAAGGATGCTACGCACAGGAAAGCTGCTTTCAGTTCTCTGGAGTTTAGCGTAGATTCATCTTTAGTGCAATTGTTGAATACATATTTTTCTGACGATGCTGATTTTGTGATACTGCGGAAAAAAGTACCGGTGGTACCGTCGTTGTTGCAGTTGGCTCGCGACAAAATCAGGACATATTTTGTGTATAAATTTGATTTTTGTAAGCCTTCGCAGTTTTATACCTTTGTAAATGACTTAGAAATTGCGACGGTTTACAAACAGATAATTACTTTAGAAAAGAAAATTTACAATTTTGATTTTAGGTAAACCGAATTCAATAAATATTTTTGTGTATGCATTAATTTTGATTTATTTCCAACCTCATATGTCTAGTGACAGATTGGGTTTAATAAATTAGCCACCTGGTATGTATGTTATTACTATTTTTTAAGACTGGTTCTAAGAGGATCATCTTGTCAAAGACTCTAGTTAATCTTAAGATCCTTTGACTGCTTAAGTTTTTATTATTTATTTTTATTATAAAAGAATATTGATTAGCTAAGGGTAACAATAATAAAAACTAAAAACTAAATAAACACAAGTTTAGAAACAATAAAAATTGAAATTTTAAATCAAATTTGTTTGTTTTGTTAATGTTTTTCAAGCTATCTGATGCCTTAAAAAATAAAAAAATGTGTTTTTTTGAGATACCGCTTTTTGGCTTAGAAGGGCAGACTACAAAATCAGCCTACCTTTTTATAAGTTTCATAAGTTTTTTTAAAAATTATAATCATGGGGGGGGTAATTAACCCCAGTACCCCCCCCGTAAATCCGCCCTTGCTAAATGCCAAATTTCAACCAAAAAAATATTTTTTATTTTTTTTACATTTCGGTTTTAACAAGAGTTTATTATCGTTTTATATCGATATCACTGGTCTACAGTGGTTTTGTTGCCCTAGATATGAAAATGATTTTGGGTCTATTTATGCACACAATTCATGAAACTATCAATGATTTTGTAAGATTTGCTCTCATTTTTTTTTAAATCTTTATTTTCATTTTATATTACAAAAATAGAAAAACAAAATACAAATTAACAGATATATTTATAATGTTAGTTCTGTTGTGAGAAATTAGGATACATCGAAGTAAATAAAGAGGAAAATATCGGAAATATGTTTTATATTTCCATAAAACGCCTTTTATGAGCTTTTCTCTTATAATTTTTCAGTGGACAATCTCTTTTCAAAGACCAGCAGTAATCTGCCATCATGTGACAATCCCATCGACCCTGATACCTTTCCTCCATCACTTTTAGATCTTGGTGAAACCGCTCTCCCTGTTCCTCACTATAATTCCCTAAATTATCTGGAAATTTATCCAGATGATTGCGAAGATAGTGTAACTTAACACTCATATTTACTCCTAAAGTCTGAAAGTTTGTCAGCATATCTTGCACAATTTCTTCATAATTTGTTGCTTTATGGTTACCTAAGAAATTTTCGACTACCAACACGTAACTTTTCCAAGCTCTACTTTCCGGAACAGTCATAACTTTGATAAAATCTGAGTCTTTTATTAATTGCCGTATTTGAGGACCATCAAATATTCCACCTTTCAATTTTTTCATACTAAGCTTCGGAAATTTTCTGCAAATATAATTAAAACAATCTCCATCCTTGTTTAGAGCTTTTACAAACTGCTTTATCATACCTAACTTAATATGCAATGGTGGAAGTATGATTTTGTCTCTGCTCACCAGTGGCTCCCTTATTACATTGGCTTTACCGACAGTTAAAGAATTTCTTACAGACCAAACATCTTGTTCCCAGTGAAGTTGCTTCGCTCTACTGTCCCACATACAAATAAAGCAAGGGTATTTTGTGTATCCACTTTGTTGGCCTAGTAAAAAATTAACCATTTTTAAATCCACACAGATCGGCCATTCATGCTCCGAATATTTAATTTTCTCTAAAACTAATTTTACATTTTCATATTCTTCTTTAAGTTTCGTTGAATGGGAATTGGAATTGATGCAAACTTATTTCCATTGTGCAATAAGACACATTTTAAACTTCTTTTGCAACTGTCAATGAAAAGGCGCCATTCAGTCGATTTGTATTCCTTTAAACCCATGTCTAAAAGCAGATTCGCGATATCATTACAATACACCAATCCCTGATCGTCACTAAAAAACTGTAATAACTCTTTTTCTCGCGTTCTGTATGTTGTAATTGTTACGGTTGGTGCTAATAGATTTTTTTCTTTCAATCTTGAAGCTAACAGTTCTGATCCTTGTTTTGATAAATTGAGATCACGTATTAAATCATTAAGTTCATTTTGAGAAAATAACTTTGGCGTAGATGTTTCACCCTCCCATTCACTTTCACTGCTAGACGGTCCCGATTTCTGTGAATTTGGCAACATCATTGTTTCTGAGGGCATGCGAATTACTTTTGAAACGTAAATAGGCCGAGGGAGATTTTCACTGTGTGGAACCGGACATTTCGTAGACTGTAAGTCTGGGTATTTCCACTTTTGATTTCGATTGAAACCTTTAACATCTACTACACAAAAGTAACAATCATCAAAATGATTCGTAGGCTCCATCCAGATCATAGGAATACCAAAGTCTAATCCAGAACGTTCTCCTTTTTTCCACAACCGTAAAGACTCAACACAGCATTTACAAACTTTATTAGGAACCAATGGTTTACCTAATTTGTCCATTCCAAAACCGAAATATTCAACATAACTCTCCTTGACAAAGTCTGTGATATTTCGTTTTTGTTTTTTTGATATATAAACACCGCAAATATAACAAAATAAATCACTACAATATTTACACTTTCTCCGTGACGAACTTATATTTTAGAAGACAAGACGAATATATCAGAATGGACATACAGTAATTGAAACAAAATATTAATCCATGACAACTTCAATATTGTCATATAACTGAGATTTCAGCTGTTCTGTGGAGCAAGGCGTCTGAGAGGTGGGATCACGTGATGTTTGTATGCGCTAAAAAGTTGCGCAGAAGCCTTAATCATGACTGAAGAACTTAATTTTATTTCTAAGAAGCCGATAATTGTTTAACACATAAGACATGCAAAAATCATAAAAATACGAGCACATTGAGAACTTTCATGAATATATTCGAAATCTGGACACTTGAAAACATAAAAATTCGCGATGATATCGAGGGCAACAAAAAAAAATTTTTTTTTGTAGAGATGTGTATTTTTTATTTTTTTCATTGTTTTAAAAAGAACATTGACAAAGAAATTATATTTATTTTAAAAACAGAAAAGAAAGTAAAACATAGTAAGTACTCAATATGATGAAACTATTTACAAGTTCTTTAACTGTAAACTAGAGATGTGTAGTTAAAGAAAATTGCAGAATTTTGGTAGGTAACAAGCATCAAAAATGTGTTTATTTTTGCATTTTTAAAATGTTTATTATTTTATTCATAGTATGTTTTATCAACGTTAATTGTTTGTATACAGGGTGTTTCCGAACTTGGCGTCCAAATTTGTAGGGGTGATAGTTTGCATAATTTGAGAGCGATTGGCAGATTTCATTTTTCTAAAAAAATTATAATAAACAAAATAGAGCCATTATAAAAAAAATCAAAGATCTGGTCCTACCCTGAGCGCGTAGCGCAATAGTTGCCTGATCGGTTACTCATCGGGATTTACAACCGTAGCGCGCGCGATTCAAGGCGTTCCCATCGCTGTGCAGGACCGCAGCTATTTAAAATTTTTAATTAATTTTTAATTATTTTTATTTTAAATATTTTGGAAAAATGAAATCTGCGAATCGGTCTCAAATTATGCGAACTACCACCCCTACAAATTTGGAAGCCAAGTTCGAAAACACCCTGTATATTTGGGTTACCTAATTAGATAAAGGTTCTTTCGTCGGTTAAAATGCTGCGAAGTTCTGAAGTATATTATGGTTTATGTTTGGAGACAAGTGCTTTGAAATCTAATAAATACACACCAAATGAAAGGGACATTGATCATCATATCATCACTATACCAATTTTGTCAGTATTGACAAGATGTTATATTTATGCTATATTTTGCTTTCTTTTTATTTTTATAATTTACCTATTATTTATTTTTTAAACTGAGATACATTATAGTTTTATGACAATGTTCGCCTCTTCACGACAAATGATTGTATACATTTCTTAAATAGAGATGATTTATTAATATTATTATTATGATTATTGTTAGAAGCACATACAAACAAAAATAGCAAAGGTAAAACTAAGTAAGCAATACATTATATGGTTTTTCCACTTTTTTTTAATTAAAATGTATGGCCTTGGCATTGCCAATTGGCCAGACTAATTTACATTGTTTGGATACAAACAATTATAAATCCACAGTCCACTGTTAGTATTTGTTAGTCGTTCGTTTCTGTTATTCTTTTTTTTTGTGTTATATTTTCTTTTTTGTGTTATATATTTTTTCTTGTTTTTTTTTGTTGTTTTTATACGTTTTTTTGTTGTTGTTTTTATTCGTTTTTTTTTGTTGTTGTTACTACATATTCTTTTTTTTATTTTTTTATTTTTTTTAAGTTTTTTTTTAATTTTTTCAACTTAAGAGAACATAAGGTTTTTTTTTTTAATTGTTCATACAATTTTTGCTTATTTCTAATGTGTTAAACTGTTAGTTTTTATTTAGGATGGAGATGCTTTAAGTGGAGAAACGAGCAAGCCCGAGTAATTACGGCAACAAGTCACTTCCTCCACCCAACGCAATTCTATATTATTTTATAAATTATATTTGCATCTCTGAATATGTTGATATATTATATACATTTTAATACCTCGAGATTTTTTGAGAATATTATAGTATTTAAATGTATAGGGAACAGACATCTTAGGCTCGTCAGACTCTCGAACAGAATATCAATATTTGTAGCCTGATTCGGACATTCGAGAAGAATATGGGTTAAGTCACCCATACTTCCACAACTACACGAAGGTGATTCTGCAAGACCGATTTTATGTTTGTATTTTGGGCTCAAGGCGATTTATTGTTTCAATGAATTTTCTATTGGATTCATTTTGAAACCATGGTTTGGTTTTAAGTTTTTATTGACACTGAATAAAGTTAATACCTGTTACCGCCTGTTTTAATGTTTGTACCCAATTCTTTCGCATAATATTTTTTCCAATTGCGTTAATATCAGAGACCGGGACAATATTGGATATTTTTTCACCGTCAAAATCAGTTGATTTGGCTAATTTATCCGCGAACTCGTTTCCTTCTATTCCGGAATGACCTTTAATCCATGAAATAATTACCTCAACACCTAAATTTGAAATTTCGTGGTATA